CCTGGGATCATGACCTGAGCTGAAGGCAGACGCTTAACGACTGAGCCACCCAGGCGCCCCTATTTTTTTTTTAAATGAACGGTTTTCCCTGTTGTATCTCAGTGGCTTCATAAATGACATAGGCCAGATATAAGGCATTTTCAAAGCACAACCATATCTTATTTTATACCACAGATACAGTCTTAAAATTTTGAGGGTAGAACACAATGTTCAAAAATAGACATGCATTTAAAATGCTGTAGAAAACAGAGCTATACCAAAGGACTTCTTACTGAATACTTTCTAAAGAAAAGAGTTATTTAGCCAAACCCTTCTTTACGCTTTAATTTTAGAAAGGCTATTTTGAAGCTTTTCCTTTTTTATTCTGAAAATGAATTGTGCTTATTTTGCTCTTTGCAGGTAGAGTATGGTATTGCTTTACCTGATAACAACCATCTGGTGATATTCTTTGCATAATTTATTGACAGTGCCTCGAGCTGATATTTATTTCTGTACTATACATTGTGGGGGTTTTCTTAGTGTAGACATTCTTTGTTAAAATTTCATAAGTGTATGACATCTTCAAATATACCGTATAAACACACCTGTAAAAAAATTAACTAGCTTGCAGTATTTGATACACTATAGTAATTTAAAGGTGGGACGTAGTAGGTTCATTTCATGAATTTGCATTTGGTAATACTTAATGAATAGGTGTCCAAGTAGGAAATATCACTGATCTCTCAAGAGGAATTGGGCCTTGTTGTGCTCAGCACTGTTGAGGATCCCCAGGGTTAGGTTAGAGGCTCAGCAAATCCATACATTCCTCAGGCAATACCTAGGAACTCAGCAAAGTTTCTGCACATGTATGACTAGTTTCAGTTGTGTGTACTTCTAATTAGTGAAATATCAGTTAATTAAAAAGCATACTATATTGGTTCCTTTTTGCCATGTAATTTCAGTACAGTTGAAAAAAATATATTTCTGTTACAGGGCATATAATAAAATAGTCATACTGAAAGTAGTTGAGACATACGTCCCATATCTTTAGAGACTGCTTTTTGATAATTTCAAGAGCCATAATTTATTTGGAGTTTTACATAAGCTTGAAAATATCTTTGCTTTCTTAGGTAATAGTATGATGTGTGTCTGTATTTATGTACTACTTCTGTATGAGATGCATGAGCTAAATGTTCAGTGCAGCAGGTTAACAAAATTCCTATTTCTGATTGAGAATTTTCAGGTGGTTAATGTATAACAACCCTTTTGGAATAGTCATTCACCTTGCCAAGGGCAGATTTCTCCCTCTTACTGTTTGTCCCTTTCTTTGCTTTGAGGGTTATGTGGGAGTGAGCTTTTATTTCTCCTTTGTAATGGAGAGCTGTTCAAGTAACTGTGCCTTGGCGTGGAATGTAGTCATTGAGGTTATGTCAGGGGTTAACTCCCCAGGTAATGCGTAGAGTGCCACTTCAAGGCAGGTGGGGTTAAAATTATTTTTGCAACTTTTATTTACAGGAATTTAGAGATGAACCCTATTATAAAGAGGAGCTTGTAGATGAGCCCTTCCTCGATTTGGGAAAGGCTTTTCAGTCCCAACAGAAAGAGAGAGACAATAGCAAGGAGGCCTGGGAGATGCATGAATTTCTGACTCCTAGATTGCAGGAGATGGGGGAAGAAAGAGAGATGCTTGTTGATGAAGAATATGAGCTATATCAAGATCACTTTCCGTCCATGGACTTGTATCCCTCATCACACCTTCAAGAGGCTGCTCCTGTTTCCTCTGTGAAGGAACTTCACTTTGGCACTCAGTGGTTACAGGACAACGAACCACCTGAGCTTCAAGAAGCAAGATCCATGAGGAGTATGTATTCCCAGGAGACGCAGCAGTGTAGCTATAGCGCTGGAAACATGGTAAGGGGTGAGAACAGCTCTTCCACATCCCCCTCTTCTCTCCCCCACCCTCCCAATCTCTGTGCCTAAGTCATGTAACTTTCAAAGGAACAAAATGTAATGGAAAATACAGTTTTTGTAATTAATCATTTTTCCAAGATGTACCGTATAGTGTAATGCTGTAAGGATAAGCTCATCTCTCCTGTATTATACAACTACTAGTAAGAGTCCCTAAGCTGTGGTTGCCTTTTATAGTGGTTTATAATGGGTTTTTGCCTTGTTTTTTTTTAATGATGTATTTCTCCAGATTACCCATTTCAAAGAAGAGTTCTTTTGCCATTTGTGGTTTTTTTATTCCCTCAGAGAGACACGACTCTATATTTCTCATATTGTGTATTTGTATTTATCAGGGAAAATCAAGGCAAAATTGACTCAAGATACGTTGTTTAAGTCTTGTTTATCCACACTGTTCTCTGTTATATATGATACTAAATAGAAGGTCACTGAACTCTTAAAAATTATCTTTACATTTGTGTTACTGCCTATTTTCAACTGGGCAGGAAAGCATTATATTTAAATAGATTTGTCCTTGCTATAGATCACCAATAAACTTTATTTTTATAAAATTAGGGTTAACTGGTCACCAATTGGAATCTTTCATTAGGGACATTTTTAATGTTTTAGTTTGTTTGTTCATTTCATACCCCAGATCAACTTCCAGGGAAATGAAAAGAAAATTATTATATAGAGGTTTTTTGTTTTTTGTTTTAAGAGAGGGAAAGAGGGGGTATAGGGACAGAGGGGAAAAGGGAGATAGAATCTTAAGCAGGGTCCATGCCCAGTGCAGAGCCCCACATGGAGCTTGATCTCACGACCCTGAGATCATGACCTGAACTGAAATCAAGACTCAGAAGCTTAACCAACTGAGTCATCTAGGCGCTCCTAGGGATATTTTTTCACATGGCCACTTAGCAGTATGTTTAGATACAGCACAGTACTCCTCTCACAGAGATCAGCAACTGTCTTGCAGTGCTGTGGGGAGTGTGCTTTTCTTTCCTCTCTCTCAGAGGGCCCACAGGGCTAGTTTCTTTGCTCTCTCCTTCCTCAGACCTATCCTTCTTTTCCCCCTTTTTGCAAATGCTTTGGGTCCTTCCTCTATGCAAGGTGCTATACAAGCTGTATTTATAGAATGCAAGAGGATTAGCAGACTCTGGAAAGTCTACCAGAAAACAGATGTTTTGGGATTATGTGAATAATGCCTGGATATGGGCAGAGATGACAAAGAATCACCTGGTGTGTTGCCATTGACATTGGTGCTTTCTTTCCTTGCCAGTCCCGTTCCTGTATCTGTAAGTACTCTAACCCAAACAGAATATTCAGTTATATGGAGCAAATTCTAATCACAAATTAGTGAATATTCATAAATACTCTTTGTTGTGGCTTTCTTCTATAAAAAGAAAATTTTCTATTTACCTAAATATAAGGCAACCTGAAATAGAGGCCCATTTTAGTTTATAAACTTTTAGGGTTCTAGACTAAATAGTCGCAGTTACATTCACAGTGTTTTATAAACATTCATATTTTAAAAAATGCCAATTTTAAATTTTTTGCCTATTCTCACATTTAATGACATAATTTTATTCAGAGTCTTTCAATGCGTATTTATGTCCATAAATACATTATCACTAGAATCACCTGTCATTTAATACAGTTTTCCAAATATATCATCTTAATTTTCATATAGGTTGTTTGGGATACAGTGATTTTTGGATCCATACTATCAGTCAGAATTTTATCCTGATTTCAAGTACTCATTTGCATAACAATAGGCTTTAAAAGAATTCCTTTTGTAAGCGCATAGTGATTATCTTCACAATATAACCACTTACTCTGTTGTTTGTTAAACTGCTATTTAAAAAGCTTGTTTATGACAACATTCAGTGCTCACAATTTGAAAGACATGCATCCTAATTACTAAATCTGTGTTAAATTTCCTAGCTTCCTTCTTTTTATTTTCTATTTCTGATTCTGTGAGGTGACCTATAAGCTCCCTAAAATGGCATTGATTAAACTTGTTGCCGCCCCAGGGGTGCCTGGGTGGCTTAGTCGATTAAATGTCCAACTCTTGGTTTTGGCTCAGGTCATGATCTCAGAGTTGTGAGACCGAGCCCCACATGGGGCTCTGTGTCAGGAGCCCACTTGGGATTCTTTCTCTCTCCCTCTCCCTCTGCTCCTCCCCTCCCCTCCAACTTGCACACTCTCTCTTTAAAAAAATAATTTCAGCCGTAATGTGTCTTGTGTGCACAATATTTTCTTTAAATAATTAAATCTTCTTGTTTTGGGCATTCTTTTCCTCCTTTCCTGAACTCCACAATGATGGCAGTGTAAGGGAGGAAAAATTTTTCCTTTACTCTCATTGGTTCTCTGGCTGGGGCCTTGGAAATTAAGCTGATGAAAGATTAACAAAAGAAAAACAATTTATTAACAAGTGTGGCATGCACTCATGCAGTAGAAAGTCAGTGATGAATAACTCAAAGGGGTGGTTAGAACTTGGGCTTATATAGCTTCTTAACAAAGAACAATAAATTTATTGAGAAGTGACAAGACAAAGGAAAAAGGGTTTAGGTTTTAGGGTCAGAGCTGTAGGAAGGTAAATATAAGGGGGAAATTGATGGAAGATAAGGGTTGTTGTAGTTAGGTTTGTTATGTATGTTCCTCTTGCTGCCATCTCTGAGCTGAAAAAAAATCTAGATTCATCTCTGATGATGAACAGTCAGGGGAAGATAGCTTTTCGGTATGTGCTGTTTCACATTTGTCTTCCTCCCCGAGTAATCCTTATGCCAAAGTGGCATATTTTTGATAGAATGGTCTAATTCTCTATAACAGTTACACATATAAGATCAGGATGGGCTTGAATCTTTATTTGCCCTCCTCTCAGAAAGGTACTCATGGGATGAAAATTTATTATCTAATATTAGAAGCTTTGGGTAGATTGTTAAAACATTTGAATACTTTACAAAATATGTAATTCTCAGTACTCCTTTAGAGAGTGCCCTCCAGAAGGGTAGAGTAACAGTATCACTTCTGTCTTCATTATAATATCCATTTTGGGCTACAGACATAGCTATATTTATGGAGTGCACATATTACCCAACTACTTAGATTTACCTTTCTCTACTACTCTCCATTTTAATTGAAGGATAAAACCATCAAGATTTATAGATCTGGTTCTTTATTTTTACTTGTAGTAAAATACACATTGCAGTAGCCCTTTCCATTCCCCTCCCCCCACCCCTCCCCCCAATCTCTGGTTTCACTTTCACAATTTCAGTTACCTGATCAGCCAAGGTCTGGAATCAGATGATCCTCCTTCTGACATATTCTCAGAAGGTCAGTACTAGCCTAACACATGCCTCCATCATTCACCTCACTACATCTTATCACTTAGGCATTTTATCATCTCACATCATCATCATAAAAAGAAGGGTGAGCACAGTATAATAAGATATTTTGAGAGAGAAAGAGACCACATTTACATAACTCTTATTACAATATAATTGTTCTATTTCATTATCAGTTATTGTTGTTAATCTCTTACTGTGCCTAATTTATAAATTAAATTTTATCATAGGTATGTGTATATATAGGAAAAAACAGTATATACGGGGTTTGGTACTATGCTTGGTTTCAGGCATCCACTGGGGGTCTTGGGACATATCCCCCTCAGATAAGAAGGGGCTACTGTACATAAAATTTACCATTTTAACCATTTCTAGGCTTACAGTTCAGTAGCATTAAATACTCTTGCATTATTATACAACCATTATCACCATCCATCTCCAGAATTTTTTTCATCTTCCCAGATTGAAAGTCTGTACCCATTAAACAGTAACTATCCATCCTCCCCTTTTCTCATCCCCTGGCAAACAACCACAGTCCTACTTTCTTTCTCTAAGAATTTGATGACTTTAGGTACCTCATTTAAGTGGAATCATAGAATATTTGTCCTGTTGTGTGAGGCTTATTTCATTCAGCATGCCTTCAAGGTTCATCCACATTGTAGTGTATGTTGGAATTTTCTCCCTTTATAAGGCTGAATAATATTCCATTGTATGTATATAGCACAATCTTTTAACCCATTCATCACTTGATGAACATCTGGATTGTTTCTACCTTTGGCTACTGTGAATAATGCTGCTGTGAACACTGATATAAAATATCTGGTCAAATCATTATTTTAAATTTTGGGGAGTATATACCCAAAAATTAAGTTGCTAGATCATATGCAAGTCTATGTTTAATTTTTGGGGGGAACCACCATCCTATTTTCCACAGTACCTGCACCACTTTATATGCCCACCAGTAATGCACAAATTTTCCCATTTTTATACATGCCTGCCAATACCTGTTTTCTGTTTTTGTTTTTTTAAAAAGGTGCAAAGTAGTATCTTATTGTGGTTTTGATTTGCATTTTTCTAATTACTAGGAAAAGTTGAGCAGCTTTTCATGTGCTCATTGGCCATCTTCATATATTCTCTGGAGAAGTGTCTTAAGTTTTTGCCCCTTTTCAAAAGATCTGACTCTTGCCTGGGGATTATTTACCTTAGACTGATTGTATATTCTTATTTTCTTCTCTGTTTAGAAAAACTCATTTTTCTAAAGAGCTGACCCTCTATATTGAAATTCAGATTCAGCTATCAATTCTCTTATTCCTCAGTTACATAATTGTCATTAACATTTTTTTTAAGTCCAGAATTGCTCTAAAATTTCTTCTAAGTACTCAGTGCTTACCATCTCCTCCTTACTCGCTTCTCTAAGGAATTCTTCTTTTATTCTAGGCAGCTAGGTTGTTATGTCTCCTTTCTCATCCCAATTTAATATTTGAGTTGAATTCTATGTTCTGTAGGCTCCATTAGATATCTGATAGAGTTCTGTACTTAGCTATACTCATCATCTGTATGGAAAAAGTCAGCAGTATTTGGTATATCAGTTTATGAGACATCCTTCTCTTACATTGAAGTATGACCAATATAATGTTAATGTAAACAGTGGACCGTGTAAAAGATGTCATTCACCTTTTTTGTTTTGAACAACCTAAATTTCCAACAGTAGAGAATAATGGTGTTATTCATCTTAAATGAATTGAGGTATGTTCCTCTGGTGGCCTTAACGGTATCATTTAATTTTATGCCTATAAAAGTTTGTAAGATATTAGGGACGCCTGGGTGGATCAGTTGGTTAAGTGTCTGCCTTCGGCTCAGTTCATGATCCTGGGGTCCTGGGATCAAGCCTCTGCCTCTCCCTCTCCCTGCCCCCTGCTCATGCTCTCTCTCACTATCTCTCCCTCTCTCAAATAAATAAAATCTTTTTAAAAATATCAAATAAAATATGTTAGTGAAGATTGTCTGTTCTGGAAGACTATAACTTTCAGAAACCATAGAAGACATGTAGCAAAGGAAGACAAGCAGAAAATGCAAAAATCATTGATTGTGCTTATCTGCAGGTTTTAGGTTTGTATTACTGGTATTTGCCAGGCAGATAAAAGTGATAGGAAGGGCAAAACAAGAGCTTAGAGCTATGAAAATCTCCGACCAGGTGTTTTGGGCTCATCAGTGAAGCTATTGAGGTTGTGGTCCAACGTGATCCACGAGTCAGTGTGTATCAGCCATTGACCTTTCTTGGTTGGATAGATCTTTATTCTTACACCTTTGTGATCATTTACTTAAATCCACTCATTAATGTTTATAAAACAATTTTTTTTTGGTTAAAAAAATCCACGGTTTAAAAAAAAATTGATATTATTAGCCTGTACCCTTGCAGATATAAAGTTATCAGCGTTTGTTACTGCTTGCCACAGTATAAACCGTTAACTGAGAACGGCCTGTTTGTAGAGCCAGTTTTCCACTATCCGCTATCTGGTTTGAACGATATTATCATGTTCCTCATTTTATCACAAAGTACTAATGCATTTCTGTCTGTCTTCCTCTCAAGATGAAAGAAAATTTTGGCATCGGTTCCCCACCCTCCATACCCTCATCTGAAGGAGGCAGTCAACAAAGCAGATTTGATGATCTGGAAAATCTTAATTCATTAACAAAAAGCAGTCTGGATTTAGGTTTGTGGTCTTTGTTTCTCATAAACACAAATTAAATTATTTTGCAATCTCTCAGTTTTATTTTTACATACGATAACTCTTACTGTCGTATTTTCATTCATTATGCTGCAAATTTAAGTCTGTTTATTAATCTGCTTCAGAATATCTGGAAGAATAAACATAGCTCATATGTCAATGGAGGGCTTTCAGATTCTGTTTTCTGAGAGGGCTGTATTTTCAGTGCCTGGTTTTGTTTTTTATGAGCAGTATGGATTAAAACTAAAACTAATACCTTACATGCTAACCCTGAAATAAGTCTCTGCTAATACATATTAAAATCTCTGGTGCTGTTAAGTGATACTGTTAGCTCATTGAATGGGGTTGTTAAATATTAATAAAGCAAGGCATATTTTAAACATTTATGAAACATTTTTATAGCCATATATTATGGTCAATTTTGGTGCATTAATAACTTAGTTTCCATTAAAGAATCCTAAAAGTATAGTGCCTCTCCTTGCCTACCCCAATATTGATTCTTATATAATTTTGAAAACTTGACTTTTAAAAATAATTTTTCTTCATCCAACACTGAAATATCAAAGGCTATTATATTATTAAGATCCCTAGGTGAGACAGTTAAGTTCTTTCACAGTGCTGGGATTTATAGAGCCATTGTTGAAGATTTATGCTGTCCTTCACGTGTTATGACTCTGCTTATAGGGAAAGTCTTTCTCTTTGGGCAGTTCTCATGTTGTATGGTAATACGTAGTGGGGCCAGAATGCACTATAGAAGGTTTTATATTGGTTTCTATGAATTCAGCATTCTGCTGAGTAAAATCTAAAGAATGGAATCTTTGGTGGTAAAGATTGAAGTCATCTGGGAGCGCCTGGGTGCTCCGTTGGTTGAACGTCCAACTCTTGATTTCGGCTCAGGGTTGTGAAATCAAGCCCAGCGTTGGGCTCTGCTCTGAGTGTGTAGCCTGCTTCAGATTCTCTCTCTGCCCCTCCCCACCCCTTCTTGCTCACTCTCTCTCAAAAAAAAAAAAAACAAACATAAAAGATTGAAGTCATCTCTGAGATGATTACAGTTGTCAATTCCCCGTAAGTCAAAACACAGCATGGATAGTTAATTTGGAATATCTAAGACTGGATGAGTTTATCCAGTTTTTCATCATAGAAAACCAATTGTGACTAGGATGAAAATGGACTTTCCCCCCCACAACTGTGCCATGGAACTATTTTAAAAAATTTACCACATTTCTATAGTCCTCCCACTAAGTACTTGGAGAAGCTTTATGGCACAAATGAGTGAATTAACTGAATTAATAGGTCATGTCTGTTTGATTGCCACTGATACTTCATAGCAATGTCATTATTCTTTTGGGCCAGGCAGTTCTTTGTTGTGGAGAGCTGACCTGTGCATGGTGGAATGTTTAGCAGCTTCCCTGCCTTCTAACCCTCATGCCAGTGGTACTCTCATTCCCAGTCATGGTCAAAATCAGATTTCCCCAGACACTGTCAAATGTCCCCTGGGGGGTGAAATTGCCCCTGGTTGAGACTCACTCACTGCGCTATACCATCAGGATTGAAAGGACAGACAGGCTAAATGGGATGGGTGTTGGTGGGGAGGAGCAGCAGAGTTGGGAAGAACACAGGGAAAATAGTCCCTCTTGAGCTCTGCTTTCTGTATTACCTAAGCGACTTCAAAGTTACCTCCTCTGACTTCTGCTACCTGTGTAAGTTTCTTGGGGCCGCTGTACCAGATTAGCACAAACTTGGTGGCTTTAAAACAACAGAAATGCATTCTCTCACTCTGCTCAAGGCCTGAAGTCCTAAATCAAGGTGCTGTGCTCCCTCTGAAGGCCTGAAGGAAAAACCTGCTTTTTGCCTTTTCCAGCTTCTGGTGGCTCTAGCCTTTTATGGCTCATGGTTGTATCACTGTGATGTCTGCCTCCCTCTTCACACAGCTGTCCTCTCTTTGCCCTGTGTCTTCTCTTCTTTGTCTCTTATGAGGACATCTGTCACTGGATTTAGGGCCCACGTGGGTAACCCAGGATGGTCTCATCTCACAATACTAACTGTATCTGCAAAGACTTCCCCCCCCCCCCCCAACTAAGGTCACATTCATAGGTTCTGTGGTTGGGTATATCTTTTAGAGAGGTCCCCAATCTGCTCACTACACTGCCTTAACCTAATACTTTGCAAGGCCCTGGGACTTTATTTTTTAGAGATTATAGTTTCGGGAATGAAGTTAGACTTGTATATCTTAGATTTGTCCTCACTGGAAAAGCATTCATAACCACATGCTTTCAGGAAAAATTTTGAAAGCCTCTAGAATGCTGTGCAGCGGGCATGACTATTTGGATTAATGCTAACCGTGGGTAGGCTGAGAAATTACTAATACAGAGTTGACACAGATTTGGGCTGTGTTTTCTAAGCCATCTTTCAAAATGAAAGACTTGGGCTAAGTGTTTTCTAAGCCATCTTTCAAATCTGTAACTCTTTGACCACTTTATTAGTAACAGACAATTTTAGATTTATCTCTGAATAATTAAATTTCTTTTTCTGAACAGTTAATTTAAAACTTATTTTTGAGAACCTTATGTGTAAAGGGCTATTCCTGACCCTGTAGTTAATCCAAAATTTTGTATCCTCTAAGAGCCTCTACGCTTCTTGGGCTGTGAAACTAAACCTATAAATTAGCATAATTAATAAGGTGAAGCATACAAGATAAATTCCAAGTCAATAATACATTTAGTGTTACAAGTTTTCAGAAGGTTTCAGATAGAAAGTAGTTCTGTTTCCTGATGTTTGACTGCCTCTGCCTGGATGGTACCTCCAGGGAACCCTGGATGAGTCTCTATCATTGCACCCAAGAGTCAGGCACACTTACTCATTTGCATGTAGCTCTTACTATAAACTGAGCTTTTAGAAGGGGCTTATATCTGATTGTGTTACCTTAGCAGGTGCTCAAGAAATATTTGTTGAATAAGAAAGTGAAATGCTACTTAATGTGTGGTTATTCAACAGCCCTCCTTCCCCCGCGCCCACACCACCCGCAGTGGCCAGGTTATACAATAACCCACCCTCCTCTCTACTGAGATTCTTCTTGCCTTTATTTTATTGACCATTCTGTTCTTGCACCTCACCAAGTATAAACCTTTTGAAAATTTCCCCCATTCCTCTCCTATAAACATTAACCTCCATTTGTACAGGAACCTTTTTTTTTTTTTTTTAACTTTTTTGTTTTTCTAACCTTTGTGTGCCTGTATGACCCTTACCCAACACCTGCATAGGCCCTGGAGGACTCGATTTGTTTTATGGGCTCTGGGTACTGCACTGCACTTGGTGAGCAGCTCTGTAAAGTGTGAGTGTGTCAAGCACCGTGACAGATAAGAAATGTGTGCCTGAGCCCCCGCACCAAGGGTCCGTTGGAGGAGGAGTGGGGCAAAGGGCACGGGCAGCCTTTGTGCGGAACAGGTAATGAAAAGTTTTAAATGGACTGCAGCAACCTCTGAAACCCAATGCCGTAATTTAACAGGCCACTCTTACCAGCATGGGTGGGTGGGAAACCGCTCTGCAAATAGAGCCGGTTCCCTCTTCCTAACACTGGTGTTTGGCCCTTCCGGCCAGAGTTTGGCCCCACCCCTCGTCTCTCCTTAGTGGGAAGGAGGAAGCCATAGGCAAAGCTAGAACTCTGAGGCGATGATACGGAGTACAGTGCTTTGCAGGAATGTAGGTCCCTGCGGACAGGAGTAGAACGGTACACGGGGATGGCGGACAGGCACCTGAGACGTCCTATAATACCGCCTGAGCATTACAGTTACTTTCACCCCCTCTGCAGGTTCTGTTGCAGTACCAACTGATTAGGTCCTGATTCCAAAGTTTCTAGACAAGATAAAAAGCAGTAGTAGTGGGTTTGCAGAAGATTTGTTCGTTAGGAAGAAACGGAAAGAGTTTAGGTCGTGTTTATAGGAAAAATTTTAGGATAATTTATCTCTTAAAAATCATTTCTGATTTTCTAAAAAGCCAGAGCTCCAAAAAATACTATAAATGTATGGATTCAAGGAAGGCATTTGATCACAATTCGTAATATTTGTCTAATATGCTGAAGAAAGAGTGGCTGAGAATTTCTAATCGATTACTGGGGTGTATCCTAAGGGTGATTAATGGACCTATGCCATATGGACACAGGTCCCTAACTATGTGTCCTAGGACTCTATGCACAACTCTGCCCTAGTCTTTTTTTCAGTAAATCGGCAAATGTCACAGATGGCGTGTCAGGTAAATTTGCACGTTCCAGTTGGCAATATGCCTTAACCTGAGTTTCTCCATCTATAAAATATGGTTGCTAGTATCTTTTCTCTCTAACTCATAGTTTGATATGAAAATCAAATGAGGTAAACAAATGTAAATGAATTCTGAAATTAATAAACAAAGCCCCATTAAAAATGTGTTTTCTTAACAAGCACTGGGTGATGTATGCAGTTGTCGAATCACTATATCGTACACCAGAACCTAATGTAACGCTGTGTGTTAACTATACTGAAATTAAAATTAAAAAATTTTTAGGGGCGCCTGGGTGGCTCAGTCGTTAAGCATCTGCCTTCAGCTCAGGTCATGATCCCAGGGTCCTGGGATCAAGCCCCACATCGGGCTCCCTGCTCCGCGGAAAGCCTGCTTCTCCCTCTCCCATTCCCCCTGCTTGTGTTCCCTCTCTCGCTGTGTCTCTCTCTGTCAAATAAGTAAAT